ACATTTTATACTTTATCTGTTATTTTATCTACCCTATCTGAAAATGGGATCAGTCAATTCGACTAATCTTGTAACAACCAAAAAAAAAAAGAAAAGAAATAAACCTAAACTAACTTTTTTCTTTCTAGAATGACTTCAAATTGTAACATGAAACTATAATCGTTTATCCTAAGTAGCTCTAAGTTCATAACAATATACATCTATTCATAATTAAGTTGTATTGTTTTATTGCCCTTTGAACTGTGTCTAACTACTATCCATGCCATTATAAGTTATAAATCACTCGGGGAATGTGCAACTCATGTTAAGCTATTGAATTACATTACCCACGAGCTGCTCAAGTGCATGCCTCGTGAACCATTTTAATTATATTATTTTACCTAATCTAGTCTTAAATAACTTTAAAACATCTGTATTTTTACTTTCTTCCTTTTTCTGCCCAATTGTCGAGGACAGTTAAGCCTAATTCTTTATAGTAATGCACTTTAACATTTTTCATTTAATTAAATAATGCACCAAAAAATATAGACTAATAACATGCAAAATGTAGAGAAATTCATTTACCTCTCAAAATTTTCCTGGCTTGCTAACTATGCGACAAGAGCCGTTACAAATTCATCCAAACTAGTTGTTCACTTTCCTATGGGAATGAATCTTGTGCTATGAGTGAAACTGATGATATTCCATTCAGAATACAATGTTATACAATACGTCATTTGATAGATGAAAACCTTGACTTTCTATTAGTTATAAGTAATATATAATGAAATGTAAGAGAGAACTATCAACAAACTGTGAAAGAAAGGATGTGGCAGGAGGGGTCTGATTTTCTATTCGAAACAAAATTGAAGGCTATAAAAATTAAAGTTTGTTTAAGCAACAACAATTTTATAGAGAATATTTTACATTTAGTTTCATACTTTTTCGAGGGGTGATAGATAAAACAGGGATGATGACATGCTAAGACAAATTGTGTCCCAAGGGTCATACTAGTGGAAATTAAGGATTTTTTAAGTATATCCTTGTAAATTAAGAACTTAAAACATATACTATTAAAATATGTATTATTAGCTAAGATTTTATGCTATTCGATTTGGTATAACAAGAGAAATAACAATAACAATATAGATAGTTACCTCCTCACTGATAAATAGCTATTCTTGTTCAGTGATGCCCTCTATATGCAAAAAAAAACAAAAAACATGAATTCCACAAGTCTTTTATCTCTCCCCCATTGAAACTGACTGAATCAAATGCATCTCTCATGCAAATAATCATGCATCAACCTTCCACCAATAAGAATGTGACATCCTCTCATGATGCATGCAACTCCCTATATTCAATTCTACTGAACTGTCACTTTGAGTATTGATAGAAGATGGAAGCACTGGTTTTCAGTGGGGAAGGAGGTTGGGAAGTGTGAGAGGAGGCAAGTTCCTATCAGAAATACATTTTCAGTATAGGAAAATTATAACGTCCGATACAGTACATTACCTCTTCCCACATAAATAGCTAGAGTCCCACTTTGAATAGATGAAGGGACCAGTGTGAAGGAAAGAAAGAAGTATCCTTCAAAAGTGTCAGAAGGACACTCCCTCAGAAGAGAAAGTCAGATTCTAAGATCTTATGTGTGGAACCATACCACTTCTGAACCAGGTATACTCTTCTCCTATCGTAGAAAGATTTCTCACATCTGTGAGGAAAATAGAGGAGCATGTCCAAGTGGGACAGAACTAAGGTCAGATAGTGATCCGAATCATATAATATTTATGCAACTCTATTCCAGATATTATAAAAGTGTTTTAAAAATAAAAAGGATGTGTCCTAGGTGTAGAGTGGCTAGATTGCTATGGAGCAAACACAGCAAGTCAACTACATCCCAAATCCATGCCACTGGAAACCGACATCCACACGGGGGTAGGATGAGGATCATAACGTAGGCAAGTCAACTGCAATTCAAAACCCAGCCACCAGGTACCAACATCCATGTGGGAGTAGGAAAGAGGATCATACCCCTGGCAAGTGACTACAGTCTAAAACCCAGGCCACCAGGAACCACATTCATGTGAGGGTAGAAAAGAGGATCATTCCAGTGGCAAGTCAACTACAATCCAAAACCCACCCATCTGGTGGGGGTAGAAAAGAAGAACATACCATATTTACCTCAGGTTAGTAAGGCCAGAGGGAATAGAAAAACACTAGACCCATTAATGGGCCATGTTAGTTTAAGAAAATAATAGTTCGATCTGGGAACCCAACATCCAGTATCAAAAAGATGTCTGTGTAATGTAAACCACATCTCTCAAAAGTGAAACTGACCGGAACCACCCCAAGCACAGTAACATCCTCAGAATAATAAGTATTGAGGGATAGTGGAATGGGAAGAATCATAATAATCTGCAAGTACCTCCACAACATGGATGAAGTAACAAGAGCATAATTGAGGGAGGAATACATAGACATCTGTAATACATATGAGAAGACTTATGTTGACTGGTTCAACTCTAAATCCAAAGCCCAGACACTGGGAACAGACATCCATGTGGGAGTAGGATGAGGGATCCCAATCAAAAGGGTGAATTTCAATTTTGATGGCTCACTCCTATTTATATTTGTTTCATAATGGAGGATAACACATCATTTACACCAGCAGATATTTGTATATTTTGTATTTCATTAACATATTCAAGGGGATGTCTCCATGGCCCACCACCACAGCAGTTTGGAACTGGAAAGTGGTAAGGACTCTCAAATTCTATTAGAAGAAAAGGGGATGGGGACACAGTGGAGAGTCTGGAGGAATTACAACACCTGAGACAGTGAAATGGGTGACCACGAAACCCTATTTTTAAAAGCAGACCATACTGTTTTATTCAATACATGGCACTGTAGGGATGGGCAGCTATCCCATTCTGCTTTACCCATGTAGTCTGTGGGTGAGTATGGTCTGAGATGGGAAATATTTTGTTAAAATTCCATTGTGATGGTAAACTTACAAGCAATCTTGTGAAACACCCCATTTCTGCAGTGTGCATTGCGTGGCCATGGAAATGCAATATGTAAGTCAACATGACCTTAAATTGCAGATTTGATCTGTTAAAGTATACCTCAGGCACCACTAGCCATAGAGCAGGATCTAAACAATGAGCAAGAATAAAAGGGAAAAAAAAAGGCTCCTGAAAAGGAAAGAATAAGAAAAAATAACTTACCCAGTCAATGTCTCACTGAATTCTGAAGATGGGTTACTGGCAGAAGACAAGAGCCCAAAGAGGAAGAAACCACGATCTGATGCAAATAATGAGAGATGAAAGTATTATGGGTAGTCCACATGCCCAGTTGAAGAAGTACCTCCAGGGGATGACAAAAATAAAATGCTAATGAAAAAAGTAAGGTGTCAAATTGGATGAGAAGACATCTGGAACAAAGTATGGGAGGACGCTGATAAAAAGAAATAAGCCAATCAAACGAAGAACCAAACCAAATTGGCAAATGTGGAAGGAGAAAGATCATGAACAGAGGACAGATGCCAAGGAAGAAAGAGGTGGGAATGGATACCACAAAAGGAAGCTGTGCAGGCAATATAACAAAGATCACGTTCAGGACATAGAAGTCTATCAGGATCTGGCCAAAGATAAAGTTGTGAAACAGAAAGAAGGGAAGAGCCTAAATGGAGGAGTTATCATTGTGAGCCGCCAAAGAGTTAGGGAGGAAAAACAATCCGGAGAAAAAAAGAAAATATGTAGAAGGATAAGAGTATGTGAAACATCAATGGCAAATTAGTAGACCACAGGCGAATAGGAGAAGAAAGGAAGACATATGGGAAAGGTGAAACAAGGAGCACTAGGAGTGTAGTTCAAATGTAGGCAAAGCGAGACGGTGTAGGACTACATTAATATCCACATCCAGAAAGGCAGCCTGCCACAGCAGACAATGAATCCGGAAGGAACACATCAACAGGTAAAGTGTAGGAGAGCTAAATTCCTGCAGTATCAAGAAAAACAAAAGATGAGGGACAGGGCTTCCCAAAAATCCAAGATTGAGGAAACAGAAGACCCCGATCCAAAAGTCAAGTGAGGAAATCTTCATGACAAAGAACAGTGGGTTGATCAGGGCAAAACTCTGGACCCAGAAACCAATGATGGAAAATGTTCCATTTGCATGGAGAAACTTCCATGAAGGAAGAGCAAATGAAACAAGTCAGAAAAGAA